ATTCTTCTACGATCTTCTTTATTCACTGTCCAGCTTTCGCATCCGTATGAGGTTATTGAAAATACCATGGCTTGGGTCAGGCGCACCTTAGTCCTCAAGCTGACATCTTTGCTCTTCAACATGTATGTAAGCATTTTAGGTGAAAATTCACACAACTATTTTCCAATTTACCACTATACACAATTTGTTTTGTGACTGCTATCCCTGCCATGGGTCAGCACTCTTCCCATTTCTTAGGGCAATAGTTTGAGGTTCCTACAGTCTGTATCAGTCTAGTAAGTTTTAAATAGACCAGTGACTCTGAGTTTTGTTCATTTATGACCGTGAGTTGGAATTTTTTTCTCGTTCTAACTGGCACCTTCTATTGTGTCCCTGGTCAGAACATTGTTCGTGGTAGTAAAGCACCATCTAACTCTCCTTTCAGGCTATAGGAGGCTGTGGTTCATTATCATGACCATTAGTCCTGTGGACTAAGTGTTGCTTTCCCTCTCCTTTGCTCCAGATGGGAAGACACCAATAGTTGTATCTTAGATGACTGTTCACAAGCTTTAAGATGGCAGACACTGCTCACCAAACTAGGATGTAGAACATTAACTGTATGAACTATGCTATACCAGTGTCCACGGATAACATGGTGAAGAATAGGAATTTCACAATTTCTATTGTGCTCATGAGGAACTTACACATAGACAAGAGGCAGGGGTTAGAACAAGGGGATACAGAATGGTTTAAAATTAGGAAAAGTATGTGTCAGGGTTATATCCTTTCAAAATACTTATTAATGCTATATGCTGAACAAATAATCTGAGAAGCCGGATTATATGAAAAAACCTGTGTCATACACTGCAAAGCCTCTGCAAAAGGCAAGTTTTAGAACCCCTTTTAGGTATTCCAATCATTTATAAGCTGAGACGGGCTTACAAGCTTCCTGTAATCATATTTCCTGATATTTCTTTCTATCCCACTCAAGTGTCCACTTTACAATAGTAGGCAAGGCAAGCCAATATTCATAAGACAGTCAAGCATCTTAGTATTAATTTCTCCTCTTCAAATTATTGCCTCAATCTCTGTATCACAGAGCCCTGTTGTTCCAAGGTTGAGCGAGATGGAAACTCTTATACACTGCTAATGCAGTCTTGGTTTGGCATTGTAGGAATAAGCACTAGACTGCTAGCCACAGGACGCAAGGTTGGCAGTTTAAACCCATGAGCCCCCAGAAACGCTATACAGGGTTGCTATGAGTCAGAGCCAACTCAACAGTACTTAGCACTGACAACAACAATGCAGTTGTAAAATGTACAACCATGGTGAAAAGCAGTATGACACTTGCTCAAAAAGCTAGAAATAAAAATACCTTGTAACCTAGCAATGCCACTCCTAGGTATTTATCTTAAAGATACAAAAGCAGTGACATGAACAGACAAATAGACATCATGATAACGGAGAAAAGGCTAAAGTTGACAAAGACTTCATTTTGCTTGGTTCCACAATTAACACTCACGGAAGCAGCAGTCAAGAAACCAAATGATGTATTGCATTAGGCAAATTTGCTGCAAAAGGCCTCTTGCAAGTGTTAACGAGCAAAGATGATAGTTTGAGGACAAACACGTGTCTGATACAAACCATGGTATTTTCAAATGCCTTATACGCATAGGAAAGTTGGACACTGAAGAAGGAAGAATAGATACAATTTGAGCTACGGTGTTGGAAAAGAATAGTAAAAGAACCGTGGACTGCCAGAGGAACAAACACATCTGTCTCAGAAAAGGTACAGCCAGAATGTTTCTTAGAAGCAAGGATGATGAGACTTCATCTCATACTCTGGATATACTGTCAGGAGGGACCAGTCCCTGAAGAAGGACATCATGACTAGTAAAGTGGAAGGTCAACATAAAAGAGAAAGACCATCAACAAGATGGATTGACAAGGCAACAGTGGGCTCCAGTAACAAGTGTGAGGACGGTACAGGACCAGGCATGTTTCCTTCTGTTGTGCACAGGGTCACTATGAGTCAGAACAGACTCAATGACACCTAACAACAAAACAATGTCAATTGACCTAGATGTCTCCTGAGGTTATCTATGATCCTTATAAATAGGACCACTAGCTTTGCAGCTATGTTATCTTTCAGGAACTTCATCATCTTAGGTTTAATAATCCATTTTTAGGTAGACTTTGTTGATAATGTGAGGTATGGATCTCATTTTTCTACAAATGGACATCCAGTTTTGCCAGCATCATTTGTTAAAAAAAAGACCTTCTCTTATTCATTTAATGGATTACAACCTACTGCTAATAATAAGCTGCCCACAAGTAGATGGATTTCTGGCTTCTCCACTCTGTTCCATTTATCTACATGTTTTGACTACTGTAGTTACACAGTGGGTATGAGAGTGGGAAAAGTGAGGCCGCCTACCTTGTGCCTCTTCAATGTTTTAGCTATTTGGGCCTCTTTCCATATAAAGTTGGAGCTTAATTTTTCCCTTTTTTAAAGAACGTTGTTGGGATTTGAATTGTGATATCTAAGAAAGCTTTGGGTAGTATTGACATTTTCACAAATTTTCTTCTAAATCTGTAGGCATAATATCTTTTTTCATTTACGTAGGTCTCTTGGTTTCTTGCAATAGTGTTTTATAGTTTTCTTTGCATAGATCTTTTACAGTTCATGTTAGATTGCTAGGCATTTTATCTTTTTTTGGGGCTGCTATAAATATTACTGCTGTCTTAATTTCGAAGTTTTCCTTGTTAGTGAAGAGGAACCCAACTATTATTATTATTATTATTTTAATATACTTATCTTGTACCTTGCCACTTTGTTGAACCCTTATATTAATTCTAGTAATTTTCTTGTGAATCTCTGGGATTTTCTATGTATAGGAGCAGGTCCTCTAAGACTTGGGATAGCTGTACCTTACCAATTTGGGTGACTGTTATTCCCCTTTCTTGCCTTATTGCTCTAACTAATAATTTCAGTACCATACTGAGTAAGAGTCCTAGTGTGGCTCTATGGATTAACATGCCAGACTGCAAAGCTCTTTGAACTGCAAGGTCGGTAGTTTAAGCTCACCAGCTGCTCCTTGAAAACCCTATACAGGGTCGCTATGGGTTGGAACTGACTCAACAGCTCTTAACAACAACTACAACATTGAGTAAGAGTGGTGGTAATGGGCATCCTTGTCTAATTCCTGTTCTCCAGAGGAATGCTTCCAATCTTTCTCCATTTAGAATAAGGTTAGTGATAAGCTCTGGTGTACGATGCTATAGGATAAGCACTGGAATGGTAAGCACAAGGTTGGCAGTTTAAACCCACCAATTGCTCTAGGAAATGATCTATACAGTGTTATGAATCAGAATCGACCCAACCGCACTTACCAGCAACAACAAACAATCCTGGTTTTGTACATACGTTCTTAGTTATGTGGTAGATTTCCCTTTCATTCCTATTTCGTTGGGAGTTTTTAACAAGAGTGTTGGATTTCTACCAAATGTAGATGGCATGTATTTTGAGCAAAAATTCTCACTTTATTTTTTCGACCATGGCACTTAATCTGTTGGATGGACTTGTTATGATTCCATCTTTGACTATTGTGAATAATGTTGTATTGAACACTGACTGCTTTCCTATGTTTTGGGTACATACCTAGAGGTGAAACTGCTCAGTCATGGGCTATAGGAGACTTCTGGAGATTCTTTCTAAACTTAATCAAAAAATTAAAACATGGTCCCAAACTGAATTATTAATTACTTTGTGTTACTTACCCCGAGAATATACTGACAGGAATGAGGTTCTAGCATATATACAGTAACAGCATGAGGAGAATCTGATTCTTTACACCTAAAATAGAGAGTACTTTAAGGCACTGTCCAGGTCACACAATGTAAGATAATTTTTAATGTTTCTTAAACTATATAAAACTAAAAACCCCATGCATGTAAACTTTGTATTGTTGTTGTTGTTGTTATGTGCCATCGAGTCGGTTCCGACCCATAGCGACCCTGTACAAGGTTTCCGAGGGTGTAAATCTTTACAGGAGTAGAAAGCCTCATCTTTCTCCTGTGGAGCAGCTGGTAGTTTCGAACCGCTGACCTTAAGGTTCGCAGCCCGATTCGTAACCACTACGCTACCAGAGCTCCTTAAACTTTGTATTATTTATTATTTATTATTAATTATTCTATTCATAACTGGGAGTCCTGGTGTGACACCGTGGGATAAGTATTTGACCTCAAACTCAAGCTGAATGACAAGATTGGCAGTTCAAACTCACCAGCTGCTCCATGGAAACCTATAGAGTTGCTATGAGTGAGAACTGACTCAACAGCACTTAACAACAACAAATATTCATAACTACATTTTGTATTATATGAAACATTTGTCTATAGAATGCTGGTAAAAAGAAAGGCATAAAGAATGATTTGATGGTCCAACTTACTTTAGTTTTACTGTCACCTGTCTTGGTTTGTCAGTTATATCACAAATATCTCCATTCCCATAAAAATGTGACACCATCCTGAATGAGAGAAACACACGATTTATTAAACTAAAACATCATTGATTCGGCTTTACTGTGGAGGATAAGAAGAAGGTTAGAAGCTTCAGTTTTGCATTAGTAAAATATTCTTTAAAAAGGCTTATTTTCTGGGCTAAATGACAATGATTTCTAAAACTTACAGCAAGAATATAAAATATATAATTCTATTGGTTTCACTAATAATCATGACCTCCAACTTGCATATGATTTATTTGTATACAAATAGATATGGTTAATATTGCTTTTAAGAAAGTCACGCTTTTAAAGTTAACCATTTCTCTAGCTCCTATGTACTGTTTATTTTGTGGAACGACGTTTTCCTTTCTTCTCAACCTTCATCCAGCTTCAAAATTTATTAAAAATAATGCAGTACAGATAATACAAAAGGTAAAGCTTAGGCCATGCTCAGAATTCAGAATCAGCAGGAAACAAATGAAAGAATTAATTCTGCTAGCGTCACACAGCTGTGCTTCATTCATTGCACATGACACTGTAATTTCCATATGATACAAATACAAGCACTAACCCCCCAACCACATTGTTAATATTAATACTTAAATGTCTATCTCTGATTTTCCTAACTTTGGTTTTGCTTAGTAGGAAAAATCAGAACATTCTGAAATAAGTCTTTTAATATCATCTGTGTTAAGAAAGACAAAGTTAACAAGTGAAAAAGACAAAGAATGGGTAATTTAAAATCCACTGAGTAAAAATGCTAAGCTCAGTTATTCTTGGGAAACAAGACTGATTGAAAAACTAACTTTAAGAAAATATATATATTAGGGGACTTCAAAAGTTCATAGAAAAATGGAATTGAAAGACAATAAAGTTCTTCCAGAAACTTTGTGAAGGCCCCCTTATATATACTAGGTTTTCAAAACACCAACGTAATGTTCCAAGTATTTCTAATCATTACCTCACAAATGAAATAGGAAATGTATACTGAAATGGAACTGAATACCTTTAATAGGTCACGATTACCAATGAGAGTGGCAACTATATAAGTCTCAGACTAACACCTGGAATCGAGCACTGTAGCATAGTGGTTACGAACTGGGCTGCTAATCTCAGGGTGAGCAGTTCGAAACTACCAGCTGTCCTGTGGGAGAAAGATGAGGCTTTCTGCTTCCATAAAGATTTACAGCCTTGGAAACCCTGTACAGGGTCGCTCTGAGTCGGAACTGACTCCACAGCACATCACCACCACCACTGTGATTTACTACTTTCATGCCACCACCATTAAAGGCAGCAACCAATATTTATTGTGTGCTATTATTGGGCACTATGATATTATTTCTCACTCTCATGTGTAATCTTGACGTTTTAAGGTATTCAGTTCTATATCAGTATACATTATTTTATTTGATGAAGTGGTTGGAAATATTTGAACATTACACTGGCGTTTCCTGGTGTAGCAATGTGCGTTAGTGAACTGGCTGGAATGTGGTCGGTTTGAATCACAAGGTCAGTGGTTCAAGCTCACCAACCGCTCCTTGGAAACTGTATACAGGGTAGCTATGGGTCGACACCGACTTGCTGGCACTTAACAATGCTTTATGTGGATTCCTGTGTGGTGCTGTAGGATCAGCACTGGACTGCGAATCAGAAGGTGAGCAGTTCAAACCACCAGCTGCTCCTCAAAAACCCTATACAGGGTCAATATGAGTCAGAACTGACTCGATGGCACTTAACAACAATGCTTTACATGAATTACCTTGCCTAAATATCACAATAATCCCACAAAGCAAATACTACTTGGCAAGGAAAATGAGGCTTAGAAAAGATTATGTAACTTGCCCATATTTGAATTCAGTTGATCTACTCCATAAACTACGCTTTTTTTTTTTTTTTTAAAGTTTTTATTGTGAATTGAGTGATAGTTTACATGGAAGAACATTGGTTTTATACTCTTCCTGTCATGTTTTATTTCATTGCAATGATTACAATCCCCTCCATGCATCATCATTCAACAGTTATTTGCTTCTATTCCCTGGTTTGTTTGTTTTTTTGTGGATGAACACCAAAACACTCAGGACCATGTAATTATTTAGACAACCAAAGGGGACATTCTGCAAGCCGGCCTCTTGGCTGCCAGCACACAACCTTTCTCTTTCCATGAGTCTAGAGACCTCAGCTGCTCTATCTGTCCATGTCCTCAACTCTGCCTCCATCCTTGGTGTCGCTGCTTCTCTAGACAGGGTCCCACGTTCTGCTCCTACTCTTCTCCCTTGATGGTCCTAGGGTCCTCTGTTCCTTAAAGATCCTGTAAGATTAACTACTCCGGAAACTGTACTCTTAACCATTAAACTGTATTGCTTCCTCAAGGAAAGAAAACTAAGCTAAAAGCGTCCCCTGAAAAAAAACGGATCAAAGATTTTGTGTTTTTTAATATTCTGAGTTTTAAATTCTACTAATCAGATCCAAAGGGAAATAAAATTAATCTTTACCTGACTGTCTGGGTGCCATCGTCTTGTAGATGATAGGCTCTAGCAGTATTCTTCTTAGCCCAGTCAATGTGCTCTTCTTGGTTCCATGTCCCCACAACCACAGAGGTTTTCCCACTATCCTTGTCCTAATATGTGGAAAAATATTTGTGATAATACATGTTCTACAGCATCAAGGAGACATTTAAGCTGATGACTCTGGGCCTTATCTTCACCTGCATACTGGATATTAACATTTAGATGTAATGATGTTAGTCAAACTGAATGAATACAAATTTCAGTTCATTATCTTTGTTTCAAAGAATGATAAATCCACTTTCTAGTCATGCTAGTTCTGGGTGTACATTTGATTTAAACTCTATCTCCTCCTTCTCCTACATCTACCAGTTCTATCATTTCTACCCCCAGTGTGTTTGCTGACTCTTCCGCTACATTTCCACTGCCAGCTCTTTATCCTTCAACCAAGAATTTAATCTCATACCTAGCTAATACACCCATGTATTACTGTAATTCTTAATGAAATCTTTTAGTCTCTAGCTCTGAATTCGCAGCCATACTGAGCTTATCTTCATCCTACTTTCACTCTTTAAATGCTATCTACAGGTTATGTTGGTCTTCATACTACTGATTTTATTATTTTTTTAAAAATCAATACTGCCTTCCACATTTTGCCTATTTCTTATTAATTCCAGTTCATATTGAACTATTTTGCTATAGTATTACTTTAAAAAACGTACTCCTTCCCTTTTCTATACCTTATTCCAGGCACTATGCTGCTACTAGTATACATCCGACTAGCAGACTTAAAACTCTTCTAGTAGCAAAAAAAGAAGTATGGCCCCTGGTGCAGAGGAGCTTACTGCACACTGGAAGAGTTGCTGCTGTGTGCCCACTGAGTGATTCTGATCCATAAAGACCTGATGGGACAGGTGTAGAACTGCACCAGGGTTTCTAAGGCTGTAATCTTTATGGAAGCAGACTGCTACATCTTGTTCCCATGGAGTGGCTGGTAGGTTTGAACTATTTAGTCTTTGGGTTAGCAAGTAAGTGCTTAACTACATACCACTAGGGAAGGACAGTCATTAAAAATTCTTTCAGCAACTAGATTATAAACTCCTAGATAGACGGGAATTAGACCAACACAGTGAAGCGTTCAAAAAGTTAGATTATGGAGCTGGCCTGCCTGCTTGTGGTTCAAATCAGTTTCACTATTTGCTACCTATGTGATTTTACGCAAGTTACTGATCTTTGTTTCTGCATCTTGGAGTGACAACAATATCAACCTCTTGGAGTGTTATGAGCATTAAATGAGTTAATATGAGGGGGCTTCAAAAAGTTTGTGGAGCAATGGGATTAAAACTTAATGAAGTTTTTTCCATGAACTTTTTTTTTTTGTCAGGTTCAATGTCAGGCACTGGGGATATGGAGATGGGTCCCTTCCACCCCCCTCACTCCTCTACTGCAGAGTTTCTTTCCCCTCTCCATCCCCCAGCTGTAGCCCCCTAGTTCTCCAGGACCCCAAGGGACTCCTGAGCCTCCAGAGCATTTTGAGTTCTGGAGGCTGCATGCGGCTGACTACACTGGTGCCTGTGGGTGGAGGGGCGAGTCCACCCCTGTCCTTCCTATGCCAGGCAGGAACAGACAGCCTGTTTGGTTCCATGCTCAACAGCTAACCTCCTTTCCTGCCCCTTTCTTTCTTTCTTTTTTTTTTTTTAAGGTTTTTATTGTGGATTGAGTGAAAGTTTTCAGGGCACTTCATCGGTTTCACATTCAAACATTCATATACCTTGTTTCATTACATTGATTATAATCCCCTCCACATACCATCAGTTAACAGAGTTTCTCTATATCCTCTTTAACTTTTTTGGGGGGGCCATGAACTTTTGAAGCCTCTTCATACATGAAAGTACTTTCATACATGAAACACCCTATCTGTAAGTGACTACTGTTTTTATACCTCACAAAGCACCTAGCAGAGTCCCTCAGAAAGTTCTAGGTTCCATGACCTTAGCCAAATACTTTGGCCAAAATCAAGTGTTGGCAGTATGGGAAAACAGCCTACGTTAATGGATGTTTAAAGTGGTCAGTGCTTTAGAAAGCAATCTGCTACTATACTCTAACAATTACATTATTAGCAATGTGCCTTATGAATATACTTGCAAATGTATAGCATCATAACAGTAGCACACGGTAGACATGTCACTGAATTGTACATGTAAAAACTGTTGAATTGGCAAGTGTTATATAAATTTTTATACCACACACACATACAACATACAGCAATAAAACTACTTAAAAGTGTCTACTTTTAAATACTGCCTAAAAAACTGGAAACAACTTAAAGGTCCATTGGTAGAGGTTTGGTTAAATGCATGTGGGTATAGACGTAATAGTCTGTAGCTACTGAAAAAAAAGAGATTAGTTATTGCTGACATGAAAAGATCTCCAAGATATTAAGTAAAAAAGAACAAGGAAAGGTTAGTTTAATATACGTTCCTCTAATTGGAGTTCTGGTGTGCTGTTGTAGGATAAGCACTGAACCGCAAGGTTGGTGGTTCAATCTCACCTGCTGCTCCTTGGAAACACTATACAGGGTTGCTATGAGTTGAAAATGAATTGATAGCACTTAACAACATCTCTTTAGCTAAACAGAAAAAGTATTACTGGGTATTTTTTGGGCAGTTAGGTGGTACTTCCTTTATTCTTTTCTATATAAAATTATGTTCCTTATTTCTTTTAAGGAATGTAAAAAACTTAAAGTACACAGGCCAATATTTGTTAAAGCCTTTCTTCAATGTCTAGCAGTTTACCTCATAAAAGTACAACTATGTATGCTGTATAAAATCATTAGAACTTGAACCTAAGAATTTAAGCAGCTTGACTTGAGTACATATTGTATCAACCTACAAAACTATACATAAAAGGAGGAATAAAAGTCAATGTGTATAATCTTAAAACTTAAGATGATCTTCTTTTAGCTAAGACTCTAGCTGTATAAGTGGACTTAAAAAGTTGGTGAAGATTCCGTTATCTTTTAACGTCATTTCCCATGAACTTTTTGAAGCCCCATTATATTTTCTTGGTGTGGCACTATAAGATAAGCATTGGAATGCTAATCCCAAGGTTGGCCGATCAAACCCATCCTATACAGGGTAGCTATGAGTCAGAGCCAACTCAACTGTACTTAGCAACAACAACTAAACCCTGGTGGTGCTGCAGGGTTACTGGACTGCTAACTGCAAGGTTAGTAATTCAAACCCACAAGCTCTGTGGGAGAAAGATTAGGCTCTTTTCTCCCATAAAGATTTACTATGATTTGAAATTGATTTGATGGTAGTGGGTAGTGATAATATACTATCCTACCATTCATTTTCTGAGTTAAAGATGTTATTGCTGTTAAGGGTGGTTGAGTCAGATCCGACTCACAGCAACCCTGTATAGGGTTTCCAAGGAGTGGCTGGTGAGCTTGAACTGCCAACTTTGCAGTTCAAAAGCATGACTACTGTCTCCATCCAAGTTTAGAGATGCTGTCACAACAGTTTAGGATTCCACTGGGCTCATGGTAATACATGCATCTGAGTAATTAACAAACATGTAAGTTTAAAGGATTACTTGGTCAACATCAAATTTTCCATTTCCAGATTTTAAAGATATTTTGATTAGTATTTCCATATTATAAGAATCTTATAACTGAAAGCAACACCAATTTCCCCCCCCCTTTTTTTTCAGAAGTGATTTAAAAATGTTAGTCCATCTAGTGGTAGAATGATGTAAGTGCTATTTATACCTCATGGTACTGATGTACATGTTTGCCATAGCAGAATTCATATTTCCACCAACCAACACCCTAAAGGAAAGAAAACATATTAGATCAACTTATGCATAGAGACTGGGAATTGGGGCCTGTCTCACTATTGCCACATGATAGTAACAGAAACACCAACACACACAAACACACATACCTGTCACTGCAACTGTTTAGAAAAAGAAAATAGCTGAGAAATGAAACAAATTAGAACAATATAAATGATACTGCTGCACTGCCTTCATAAATCAAAAATGAAAATTCCACTAGTAAGTGTATTATTACCCACTAGAGATAAAAGAGACAGATTTTACCTTTGTAGTTATCAAATTAAAATTTAAATGTGATTGCTGTATAACTAGAATGTAAGGTATATAATCAATGATGTCTATTCCAGCAATTAAGCAGAATAACACACGACCTGGTTTATATATATTTTCTGCCAGAATAAAGTTAAGTTTTAGCTCATGAGTAAAAAGAACATCCAAACCTGTTGTCAAACTGATTCTAACTCACAGAACCTATAGGACAGAGTAGAACTGCCTCATAGCATTTCCAAGCCTGTAATTTTTACAGAAACAGATTGCTACATCCTTCTCCCACAGAGCAGCTGGTAGGTTAGAACTGACAACCTTTTGGTTAGCCGCTACACTTAATATTAACGGCATCACTAGGGCTCATAAACATAACAGTGTAGCTCTGAGTTAGATTAAAGTTAAGTAGCCAGATGCAGAAAGAAAATGTCTACTGGGAGGCTTCCAGAACTTACAGTCAAAAAGGTTTTTCAGTGCTGCTAATGCCCCTTGATTAAAAAACTGACATAAAAATGTTAATATAAATATTTAAATTCAAGGTTTACTTCTCACCCCATGAAAGCAGTAAGAACCACTAAGGAACTCTTTTATGAGCTGGTCATCTGTCAATTTGGATATGTGGGTTGTTCCAACAGTGAACATTGACTGGGAGCCAACAGCAATGGGTTTATGGATTGCAGGGAATCTCTCTTCTTTAGTTGACTGTAAATCTTCCTAAAATTAAACATACACCTGTTTAGGATTTCCATGAAACACAAATTTTTTCAGTTATGGTTTAAATTATAGAACATTTTAAAAAGAATACGTCTCTATTTTTAATGCATTTTAATAAAATTAAGTTTAAAACAGTAGTACTGAGAAGGTTCTAAACATATGTTAGCTCCATCTGCCAGTTAGTGGTGTGGTGGCCATCTTGAACGTATAAGGTTAATTTCCATTTCATATATTTTGCCTTAATTCTTTTTAGCAATTTGCTACTTGTTAGACGTTGTGTCCCTACATTCAGTTTTGGAAAATGAGGTCACTACTGATAAAGGATAACAATCAGGGTACAGACAAGGTGAGTAAAAGTGAACATCAGTTACTATTCAAGTGTGACAGGACTCAACAGTTGCCCTGGAACAACTTGCAACTTGGTAGGTAAGGCACACAATAAGGTGGGCATGGATGAGTCCATAGTAAGACGATAAATCTGCTACGGACAGAATCATGAGGTACTTAATAATTTTCAGGGGCAGGAAGTAGGGGAAGAACTAGTAGACAGGTAAAAAGAACCAAACAGAACAGTGATCTGGAATTCAAGAGAGGAGAAAAAGTTCCATCTTTGAATCTTCATTCAGTGTTGTCAGTGTTGTATGTTTAAGAAAATGTTAGTCATATGTCCAGCGATTTCAGAGCCAAAAGATTATTTTTGACATAAAGACAACAGTTTCAGAAGAATGATGATTTGATAATAAGTAGTAATGAGCTGAAGAATAAATAAAATGTTAGAAGGTGGAAAGAGGTTGTAGAAGCTATCCTAGTAGCTTAGCTGGAAAGTCCACCAACAGCCAACAATGAAAATGACAATAAGTAGAATAGCACTGAGAATACTATTAAAACTATACAATGAAGAAGAATGTTAAATAGTTTCTGAAGTGGTGACAGAATAAGGAAACAAATTAAATGGGAATTTAAGGTTTTGAATCAAGAAAATAAACCACTATCACTATACTATTTTCATTGTTGTTAGGTGATATCAAGACAGTTCCGACTCTCATAGTGACCCTACTACGCACAACAGAACAAAATACTGCCTGGTCCTGTACCCTCCTCACAGCTGCTGCTATGTTTGTGCCATTGTGGCTGCCACTACGCCAATCCAGCTCATTGGGAGGCTTCCTCTTTCTCACTGACCCTCTACTTCACTATGCATGATATAATATGCTATAGAAATCATTAAAATATGCTCCAAAATACGGAAAACAAAGCACTGAGCTATAGAATTAGATACTTTTCATACCTCTTTATTTCTTCTAAAAGGTACCCTTAGTATTTCTTCCTGCTGCTCCAACTGTCTCAGGGTGAGGGGTTTAAACGGTGATCCTGGCAGTGACTGGCAAAATATGTCATTCACAGGAGATGCTCTGAACCTGTTCAGTAAGAACAAAGTGTTAAGCACACACCAATTTTAAGTATGTGTGTTATTTTATGTTCAACATATTAAATCCACATCCTACCTATATTTAGGATGACTGCACAAGAGTGGTGTCAAAATGACAACTTCATATTCACAAGTTGTAACTTCAGCTACTGAGAGGATTTCATGCTTAGATTCAGGATGACATATATACATCACAGTACTTGATCTGGGTCGGTTCTGTTTCAAACTACAAGGTGTACCATTTCCCATCCCCACAGGATAATAAGGTGTCATCTGACCTTCAATATTTTTAGTGGGAATCTTAAAAAAAAAAAAAAAAAAAAAGAGTATAAGATAGACTTTTCATTAAAAGTGGTGGTGAGAGTGAAGACAGGAGAAATTACTTATTATTCTGAAAGTAAACAAAACTACATTTAACTTAAAAACTGAAAGTTAATACTTTCTGTATACTGTAAGCTCTCTAATATTCTTTGTAGTCATAAGTACTCATTTTACTAGCACACATTTTCAAAGCTGGTTTAATATAGCATAAAGAAAATCATCACAGTGCTAAAATTAAGACAGTAAGTAAATGTATACTGATACATAAGACTAACATATGGATTATTTTCAACAGTTCTAAAGAAAAGACTATGGTAAAATATAAAAGTTTACTATACTGGATTAGCTAGAAACTTCTTCACTAAATTCTCGGTTAATGTTTGTATTAGATTCTAGAGGTCTGAAGTCTGATTTGCTAAAAAAAAAAAAAAAAAAAATAGAGCTATATAGTAAAACATGCATTAGGTAGAGTACTGATTCATCTGCTTCTTTTTCTTGTTATTAACAGCACATAATTTTTAGTATACCAATTTCTACATAAACCATCTAGTAAAGGATATAACCTCACAACATAAGGTTTACGGACAGAGTTAGTTCCCATAGTTTTATCTACATAAATACATCAAGTATTTAGCATAAGGGGCTTTATAAAGATATTGCTAAAAGCATCTCCAAGCAAGCTCTTTGGAGGCAGGGATCTCATCTTCTATCGCTTTGATACCCTATTAGTGCTATATTCAAAATGTGTAAGAAATAAATGTTTCCAGGAAAAAATATTTTGAGTATTTTCATATTAGTATTAGAATCAGAAAATCCTGGGTTCAAATCCAAGTTTTGACATTTACTAGCTTTAGTCTTTGACCAAATTTCAATTTCTGTTACCTACAAAAGTATAATAATAATACACACTTAAGGTTGTTGGGAGAATCAAGCATTACCTTTTGTTACATGCCTGGCACAGTGTCTGGCTTATAAATTGGGGCTCAATAAATGTTAGTTTTCTTCCCTTACTCTTGTCTTCCTCTTCCTTTATCATTTCACACTTTGAATTCCATCTTGCTATCCTCCAGAGTCACAGTAAATAAATATTTTATCTCAAAGGCAGTCTGTAAAATTAAAATCTTTTAAGATAGCAATGATATGTGTGTCCTTGTTTAGCTTATCATTTACCCCCAAAAGCCACCCTTTTTAGTTATAGGCAACATTTTAAAGTAATTTCAAAGCCTTTTTATTTTTCTTTGAATAAAATCATCATTGATATTAACCATTTATAGAAATATCCTGTCTCATTAAGTATTTAAAGTCTACGAAACTATTGATGTTACTGCCATCGAGTCATATTCTGACTCATGCCCCACGTGTGCACAGTTAAACTGTGACCTTTCAAAAGCAGATCACGAGGTCTGTCTTCCGAGGCACCTCTGGGTGGGCTGGAACCACCAACCTTCTAGCCACTAGTGGAATGCTTAACCATATACACCACCCAAAGAAATTAAGGAATTCTAAAGCATTCCTTAAACAATATGGGCATGTAAAAATTGTGATCAAGCAATCTGAGGAATCATCCTATTTTTACACAATCCTAATTTAAGTCATCATGTCTATTCATTCAATAAACATTTCTGAAGTGCCTACAATATGTCTGGCACTCTGCTTTGCACTTCAGGGTAAAGGGATAAAAGACAGTCCCTGCTTTTAAGATGCTTGCAGTCTGGTAACTTGTTATCTATACAGTTTATCTGTTTTACCCACAGGAGATGGGACAGATCAGTAGGAAAACCACAAAAGGTTCTTATTATAATTGTTTCCAATTTTAAGTAGAGAGAACCACTGGTAGGCAGAGTGATAGAATGCTATTACTGAGCTTTCCCAGATATATCTTCGGTAATTTAAAAAAATGATCTTAAAAATAAATAGAAAGATTATAATTTTCCTCAGAAAAACCTAAAATATCGCAAAGTTTTGGATTCATGCTTCAAGGTATTTGATAAAGAACAAATGGCTACATTCTGTCTATTAAGCTGTGAATTTACACCTTCACTAGCAATAAATGCTAAGAGTGGATTAATATGTTACTTGCCTCTTTTAATTTTTCTCTTTCCTCTGCTTCTTGTTCTATGGAGTAATACAAGAAGTATATTACAAGTCATGGCAAAGACCAAGCAATAACCTGTAGGTAAGATGTCAATGACCATGTTTCTAATCCAGTTTATAAGATTAAATTTCTTTCTAAAGAAGATCCAAAACATACATGATTTTTACCTTACAACTTTTAAGCTAGTTTCTTTGAAATGTTTTTCTTTGAAAGGACAATAATATTTAGTCTTTAGATCTTCATCTAAGAAATATTCTGAGAAGCAACAAATGCTGGCCAAAACAGTTTTCTTTTGAAGAACTTTTACATCAGATACATTTAATCTTAAAGTAGTTGAACAATCTGAATAATATAGATTAATAAAAATATTTAGCATTTATGGGATACCTCTATATGCCCAGTTACATATATACAAACTTTGTTTAAACCAAACAACAGACTAACACAAATTAAATATAACACTAACATGTATAATCAATCCTAAGTGGAAAAAAGCAGTGTTTATCAAAGTAGAAAATAATGAAAACAAAAACTTCTGTATGAAAAAGTTTTCTATTATATTATTCAGAAACTTATTTTAGTGTTTTCAAGTTAACAGTCTCTAAGAAAATATTTTTAAATTCCAATTTGAACATGTACTTTAAAATCAAATTCCTGTATTACTATCAAATCACTGGGTAGAAACAAACCTTTTTCAGATAGAAGGTTCTTAGCCAGCGTATTTCCAAGGTAGTACTCGTGAATATTTACTTTCTGTATTTAAAAATAAAATAAAAATAAACAGTTTTCAAATACATTTAAGAATACAACTTTAAAACCATCAATCTCATTATTAAAGTTCTCATTTTTAAATAATTTTTCATAATTTAAATTTTGATGAAAAAGCATACCTGACCAGTTTCCTTTTCCTCATGGTACTGCCGAATGTGTTTTCCATGACATACCTCGTAAGTCCAATACGATTCAATCTAAAAAAGAGAACTGCATTAAAATATTCAAAAGTCACAAAGTCATATGCTAAATTGAATTTTTTTTGGATATTCTAAGTAGATGAGTAGTAGAATTCTTTTAACATACAGAGTAAGTTTTCATTGTTGTGTGCCACCAAGTTGGTTCTGATTCATAGTGACTCTGTATAGGATTTCCCAGAGTGGCTAATGGGTTTGAACTGCAGTTCAGTGTTTATCCTATAGCGTCACACCCAGGGTTCCAACTGTCATTCAATGGTACTTAGAAAAGTAAGAGTAGGCATTGTTTTTTTCTCACTAGCTCTAAGTAAGAACTCTGTGTCTGAAATAAGTTTATAATACACATGAGGTCTGTAAAACTACCTGAGTTAATTACCCTGTTCTACGTCACTAAAAACAAAACAAAAACATGAAAAAATTATCATTTTAAATAAAACTTCTGTAAGAAACTTTCTTTTATTCTGCAAAATATTCTAAGTAAATGATATTATTTACTACTGGTATTAATGGGTACCTGCTATATATTTTGATTTCCCAGAATACTTTTGAATAAATGGCATATGACACAAATGAACAAAACATTAAGAAATAGTTAAGATTCATAATTAACTTAAAATTTAATATAACAAAATAAAGAAGAAATGAAGAATTATTTTAAAGGGTCTACTGGGTACCAGAAATTTACTTTCTTGTTATCGAACACACATAACATACATACTCTGTAGGAACAACTGCTTTGTTTAAATAGTGGTTCTAATAGATCTCTTGGATTAGGGCCTTTGTAATCCTTGTCTTCTTCCTGTAGAAAGAAATGAAGTCTAATCCAATTCTAGAATTTTAACCAATTTATTGGTCAAATCACAAATGCTGGGAAATAAAAGTGGAAAAAAGTCAAACACTGTTATATGGTATGATATTTCTTTCAAAATAAATGAAGTATAAAATACAGAGTCAAAGAATATTCTTTCATAGCATTCATTCTTCTCTTAAAAAAGATTTCAATTATCAATTTCTTTAAATATCTTTAAATGCTTGCATGTGAACAGATTCTAGCTATTAAAGCCTCAGAAATGGGGGTCTTCTAAAATATACTGGAACTTTTTAATGGTATTTTTGACTTTTCATACATTTTTACATTTTGCGTTAAAATGTGACCATATATCTGTGTCTTAGGAGGTGTAAAACAATGAAAACAAAATGAGACAGATATCCATCTTTCACAGATTTCAAATTTGAACAAACCCCAAGAAAATACTGAGTTTAATATTTCTATTTTATAGGCCACAAAAATATTATGGCCTAGTAACTTCATAGAGAAAAGGAACAGAATTTCAAATTTGTTAAAGGTGCTATAGCTAACAACATCCTATCCCCCTCAGCCTCCTGACTCCAAGGCTAGTGTCCTTTCCATTTTACCCTGCGGCCTTCCCTGTTACTATGAAGGAAGTCACTGCATTAAGGGATAGATAAGAGACAGGCGTGCATTTCAGGAGAAAGAAAGGGCATGACCTAAGGTGGTGAAAAAGCATAAGGTGGTGGTGGTGGTTGTGTGCTGTCAAGCCTGTTCTGAATCACAGTGACCCTGTATATGGTTTCTGAGTACGTAAATCTTTATGGGAGCAGAAAGCCTCCTCTTCCTCCTGCAGGGAAAGTGGTCAGCAGTCTAACTCATAACCCAATACACTACAGGACTGTACCTACAGGTATATATCAGAAATTCTTTATATAAAAGGTCATATATTCATAAAAATTATGTCTTGTTTTGAAAACCTCATTTCTACAGAAGAAAACACACTTGGACCTTTTTTTTGTCATTCAAAACCTTAACTGATTACTAATTTTTCCCACTTGAACTTCAAAATTAATCAAGGAATTCAGGATCAATAAATGTGATTTTTTTAATGTTTAAGCACAGTTATTGAGAAGTGTGCCATTCAATTTTTTATTATAAAGTATATGGTTGCAATGTTTCAAACTAGTATCTTAGGTGACAGAAGTTACCAATAATTTAAAAAACTTTACCTCATCTCCACCTGTCACAAGGGGAAGTATGCATTTATATTTTTCTTTATGAGCAGTTGTCATGATGACATAATTATCTTCTTTATACAAAACTCCAGTTGTGGGCTAGAAAAAAAAACACCCCAAATTGACATTACTTAGTTAAATTGTAGTACACTGAATAACTTATAGTTTTAACTAAAACACAAAGTACTTCAAATGAAGCTATCGTTTTAATAAAGGATTTTGAAAACATATTTTTAAGGGCAAGGAATAGACTTGACATCTTTTTAATGGAAAAATAAAGATAAATTTTATCCAGGTGTACAATGTAACAGAACAAAAGTAAACAAATACAAAGTTTGGAGTATAAAGAAACAAGTGGTAATATAATAATAATCTTAAATTAAAGCATCAATAAAAAGCATAATTAGGCAACAGATATGCATCTGGTGGTCTCCAACTGCTGTCCTTTTGTTTAGTAGCCAAAAGGCCTTCTAGGGTTACAAGTGGCCAGCTAGTGTCCTTTACATAAAGTATCAGGCAGTTATTTATTTTAAGCTTTGTAGGCCACAGGTATAATGTAGGCCATTCATAATTGAAAAGTTTAAACAATGTTTGAACAAGTGGGTGTGGCTGTGTTTCAATAAAACTATAAAAACAGATGGTGAGCCAGGCCATCATTACATTTTGCATACCTCTGGTACATACCAACAAAACTTTCTTTCAAAGTTTTCTACACTATAAAACTAAACAAATTCACAAATCAAATGTGAACCAATATAATTCAAACACTTTAATTCATATAATCCACTGGCGTCAAGTTGATTCTGACCAATAATGACCCTGCATAGGATTTCCAAGATTGTAAATCTTTACCGGAGCAGAAAGCCTTGTTTTTCTCTAGAGGAGTGGCTGGTGGGTTTGAATTGCCGACCTTGCGGGTATCAGTCTAGTGCTTAATGTATGGCATAACACAGCTGGTATTATTTTGCTAAGAAGAAATCATTGCTTAGATAACCAATATGATACTACCAAGGCCGAGGTTTTCACATTACTGGGTGTCCAGTGATAATTTAAGTCTCTCATCACTTGTATGTTGATTCTGACTCATAGTGACACTATGGAACAGAGTAGAACTGTCTCCATAGGAGTTTCTAGTCTACAATCTTCTCCCATTGAGCCACTGATGGTTTTGAAATGTGAGCACTCAAGGCTTTAAACACTGCTACTATACTATTGGGTCATTCCTGGCAAGAAAAGAACTACTTTTTATTAAGTACCTCTGTTCTTTTCTCAATTTAATAACTCTTAACTTTAGATAATTAAAGCAGTACCACTTGGCACATACATGATCTTAAAACACAAACAAAGATTAGGGCCATGTGCTTCCAAGGCAATTAAAAAAAAGCATTATCTGCCAGCAGTGTTTTAAGTGCTTCACATTTTATTAGCATACATATCCTTAGGACAAGTATGATACCCCTACACATTTCTGAGCAGAGTAAGATGTAATTTAAGTGATTTGATATAAAATCAAAATTTAACATAATATAACGAATCCCTGGAGGTGGGGTACGTTTAAGTTACAGAACTTTAAATATACCTTGGGGCAAGGGAAATATTCCTAATGTTTAACGTTAAGTTTGGAGATAGTAAGAGTTGGATAGAGGATAAGAAGCAGGACTATCTTGGGACAGGCTGTAAGCACACTCAGTGGCACAACTTGTCAAAGTACAGTTTACCTTTGAACCACGTGGGGACTGCGGTGCTGACCCTCCTGTGAAGTTGAAAATCTGTGTCTAATTTTTGACTCCCCAAAAACTTTACTAAGAGTTGACCAGAACCCTTTCTGGTAACATAGTTGATTACCACATATATTGTGTATGTACTGTGTACTGTACTCTTACAATAAAGTAAACTAGAGAAAAAAATATTAAGAAAATCATAAGGAAAATACATTTACAGTACTATATTTATTGGTACCATAAATTTGACGACATCTGTTTACAAGATGAGCTGTCTTCACAATAAGTATGTTGAAGAGGAGGGAGAAAAGGACGAATTGGTCTTGCTGTCTCAGGGTGGCAGACGCAGAAGTGGAAGTGGAGGCAGGCACACTTGGTATAATTTTAAGATCCACTGTAATTTCTGCCTGACTTTTTTGCTTTTTCATTTCTCTACGAATGTTTCTTTACAGTACTCATCCTTCGTCCATTGTTTGCTTTCATTTCAGTGCTCGTATCATAGAAATGTCCCGTATATTGATTGAAAAACACCACCACCAAGTGAACGTGTGCAGTTCAAACCCATTTGTTCAAGGGTCCACTGTAAATGACAAGCTGCATAGAGAGTTGGTCATCATTCTTCCCAGGTGTAGTGCTTAGGAGAATGTTGATGAACCCAAATGGGAAAATAATTTAAAGCACAGAAGAATTTCAAGCTAACAAGACAATTCCAGACCTTCTAATCCAGTCACTTCCATTTTTAGAAGGCAGAGTCCAAGAACCATATCGTCACACAGCTGTTTGTTGTTGTTATATGCTGTCAGGGGGTTCTGATCCATGTCCAACTGACACATAAAAGAAAATGGCAGCACCAGGTGAGGAGGACAGTTGTTTCAGTTAAATAGAGCAGGAAGGGAAACTTTTCAATAATAGTAGTTGTCAG